ACAATATAAATTGAAATACCCCGCTACAGTAAACCTGCAGACTCAGCAAATTTCCATTTACCTGGCTTGAATTCCACTAAATTATTAGATTTACATCCTTTTTAAATCAAAATAATTTTTAATTTGTACTTATGTTTGCTGTCAAGGGGAAGATAATAAGGTGTGGTTTTTATTGAAATATTGATAGCTTAGTAAGAAATGAAAAGATTTTACAAAATTGATCCAAGTAAGTTTCATAACAAGCACACAACTTATAAATGGTTTATTTATTCTCCAGAAGAATGAAATGGTTATTTTTAACTTACACTTTTTCAAATTTTCTTCGTAACCGTCAGGCATAAAACAACGTCTCAAATTTTTTAGCTGTTAATTTTGAAGCTCCACAAAATGGTTTAGAAAGGTAAAAATTGGGGAAAATTAACTTTTTACCCCATAAAACCCCAATTCCTAGAGCCTAACCATGCTGGTTCGCAAACTTGTTAGAATAAATGTAGGTTTACACGTGTATACCAAATTTTATCAAAGTCGGATTTTTTTGCTTTAGTTTTCGTGCTAACGAACATGGTTTTTCAATATTGAGTGATCACTTATCCATTACATGTTGTTTTAATACTATATGGACTAACGCCTGGGTGGTTTCCGAACCAATGGACAACGGCAATATTTTTTATGGTTCATAAGTTAATCATTAGTAATTTATTGTACATAATATATATTGTGTTCAGATCAATCTCGCCCCGTATTAAAATAAATTAAGGTTGATGATATTTTAGATAGAGAGAAAAGAGGCTGGAAGAGTAAAGTTTAAACACCCTGAAACCGTAACCGCACCGTGATCATTAGTTGTATGGCCATACAGAATTGATAATTGGTAAATTTGTTTTGCGTCTCTTGTATATGTTTGAATGAGGTTATCTCGGCTAGAGATAGTTTTTAAGTTTGAGACCAAGTCGAGAACTTAAAACGATCGAGAGCTGCAAAACCATTTCAGTCCGTGGTACGAACGCTATTTTTCACAACACTATACCCTATTACCACTATTCACCACAACAATAATGCACACTGTCAATGCAAGTACAACTTTAAGGTTAAGTGGAGAAATAATTCTAGGAATCAGCAAAAATAATAATAAATAGTTGCTAGGCAGCTGTGGCAATACAACAATTCTATTGCAATGCTATGGATACTGATTGTGTATGCATTCATGTTTTAAGAAAGTAAGTGGGCAGCCGATTTTGCGGCCCTATGGATGTAAAAACCTGTTCGGTCCCAAATGACGTTGGCAGCTGGCCAGCAAAACGTAACTTTCAGCCACCAATTAACGTATGTAAAACAGATAAAAACATCATAGAGTAGTGAAAAAACTTTTTAAGACCACTTCAAAACGACAACAGGCCTAAAGATTTTCAATGACACCTTAAGTGTGTCGAAACTGGTCGCCATCCACTGAGGATTACGTAGGCAACAAAAGGTATTTTGAATATTAATTTTTTAAGTAATCTGGAAGGCTACACTTAAAAACAATTGTGTTTATAGTTTACAGGATATATATTTTAATTACACTCTTACCAACGCAAGTTTAGTAATCGACGATTTCCTAATGACCTAGAATTTTTCTAATTGAACCTAGTTTTCCTGGACTATCAATATGTTATGGTGTTATTTGACAGATAAGCTGGTGATGGCCATTTCTCTCAATGTATACATTGAACTCATTGCTGATAGTGTAGTGTATGCTTTAGCCTGACGCAAGAGATAAGGGAAAGTTTGGATCATTAATCATTTAACCAGTCGATTATCTAGAGGGGCTCGCGAGACCATTTTTAATCAATGCCGATATTGTTCTTAAGCGATTTTAAGTCCCATTGAGTAAAACAGAATAAGATAAAATGTAACAATAGGAAATTATTTTATCAGTATTTACTAGCTGGGTTATCTTGAATTACATTCAAACTGTTTTATTTAAACAAATTTATTGAAAATATATTTTTTGTAAATCCTTTATAAAACGTATTCATTTATTAGAACCTATTCAATTAAGGTGATCTATTTAATGCTAGGATCTATTTTTGTCGTATAAAAGAGTGAAAATTTTAGTTTTGTTTATGTCCAGCAAAACTGAACATTACTAGACTAAAGTAGTGATCGCGACACCCCCCTTCTTGAAAAGAAAAAAATTAACCTTGTGTTTATAATACCCCCACCGCAGCAAACCTGCCGACTAAGTGAATTTCCATTTGTCTTAATTGATTTTCAATTAAATATATTTTAATAACATTAGGTTCAACGAGTACCTAGGTTTGCTGCTACAAGGAAACTAATAAAGTGTGTTTTTTTTAAAATATTGATAGCTTAGTAAAAAAATAAATAAATTTGATCAAAATATATCCATAAACAAGCAAACTACAACATTTGACAATATTCTCCATAAGAATGATATGGGAATTTTAAATTTACAATTTTTTAAATTTTCTCCGTTACTATTAACCGAACAAATATACTTTTATATACTAAATTAATTGTTTTTTAAGCTCTTTAAAAAGGTCTAAAGAGAAATTGGGAAATTTTGTGTTTTAAGGGTCAAAAGTGAGAAAAACCAATTTTTACCCCATAAAACCCCCCGTAAAGCCCCGTTCACATGGTCCGATCATGCTGGTTCGCGAACTCATTCAAGTTTATCCCGCTTTACAACTTTAAACCAAATTTCATCAAAATCGGACAAAAATTACTCAAGTTATCGCGTTCACGGACGTATATATACATATATATATATATATAAGTCTATATATATATATATATACATATATAAAAATTTGAACGAATGGTGTTTTTGGCCTCTGGGGACATCAAAATGAAAAAGTAAATCGGTCCCGGGTCTAGGTCTTACCGTGCCACCTACGGTAATAGCTACTTCCCTATAGGGAAATTCGCTAAAATTAATCAAAATTATACACATTAGAATATCCAACGATTATACAAATAGGATACGCAGCAAACATAAATATGTGTATAATGTTGATACAGTAAATTATTTCCAGTTAAGCTGATAACATTTAGGTTATGACAAATATAGTTGAGTCGTCCGTTCAGTCATATTGTAAAATATAAATTAAAACCTTCAACGAACTGTTTAGTCTTATAAATTATCTCTTATCATAATGTAAGTCCATATGAAAATCGACGGAACAAATAATTCACTTATAATAAGGGGGTAGCATACAACAGTACTTTTTAACTTAAACTTTGAATTAATCATCATTTAGGCATCGGAGTAAGTAGCTATAGTAGGCAAATTGAAACTTTGTATGTTTATGATTGCAAATAGAGGAAAACTAATCTTATCCTTGAGCTATCATCCAAAGTGGTCCTAGTAATTTGTGGAATGCTGGAGTGAAAAGTGAAGGTAGATGTTTACTTTGTCCAGGGATTAACGGAGTTTGTCCAGTTTAAGTGATTGAAACGTATTCTTAAACCATGTGATGTTTCTAAGACTTTTTCGTCCTTTCAGTGAAACACCAGCCTTAAGAATTTGTCAATCCATTTTAGGATGTGCAGCAATTTTAGGATGACAAATTTTCTTTTATGCAAGTTGAAAACTGAGAAAAAGCTAAAACTTTTTAACATAAGTTATAGTAAAAAATTTTTAAGTTTACCGTACATCTGAAATCAAATACGAGAGAATTCTTCGTTTACAAAATACCATCTATAAATTTGATATTGACCATAGTCAATGATCTTTGTTACATAACCATTGTGGAAATATTTACCCTACGTAGTAAAAGTACCAGTATTGAGAAAACAAAAGATTTAACACATAAAAAATCTGTTTGAATGCTCTTAATGTGTCGCCAAATGAAAGGTCCAAAAGAAAAATCTAATTATTTTTGTTTGAGAAAAGCCTTTCGACTGTAGTTACCGAATACGGAGACAAAAGGTGACTGGTCGCCCTAGTAACGAGGAAGTTAAGAGAGGATGATTAAAGATTTTCTTGAGCTTTCACTTTAATCTGACTAAGCATTGAAAGCGCTTTTTATAGCGCTAAGGACAAAAAAGCAATACAAAAATTTAAATTCCATACTTCAATCTTCAAGACTGGTAATATTGGAATGAATATAAATTTGAAATAAAAACTTCACCAATATTTACAGAATTTGTTTACCGTACATCTGAAATCAAATGCGAGAGAATAAACTTGAAATATAAACTTCACCAATATTTTCAGAATTTTTTGCCGTACGTCTGAAAGCAAATGCGAGAGAATTCTTTGTATACTCACTTGAACCCATACTAAAGCTTGTGAAAAGCACGATTCGTTACCCAAAATTCTCCTATAATACTTAGCTATCCTTTGTTAAAAGAATTTCATACTATATCGCTCCCTAATAAAGGCATGCCGGGCACCATTCTGATCGCGGAATCCGATATCTCAATGCCGATGGGTACCTTATTAATAGTAGGTAATTTTTATAAGTATATTTATAAATACTCCTTAGGAATATTTCATTAATCTTTATTTTTCAATAATTTTAGAAACAGAAAAAAATCACTTATTACCATTTACTACCGGTATTTTTCATATTATAGATGACTCATAGAGTTTACCGCTACACATTTTATTTGACATAATTGAATATCCCATTGCAGTTTAGAATTAACACGCAAATAAACTCTACACATTTCTCTACAAATTACACGAAACTATATAAGATGTTTAAATATAATTTCTTCTCATAACCATTCAACATAAACTCAAAACGAGTAAGTTACAGTGCATGCTCCTTTGTCGTCAAAGCATTAAACACTAACGCAGTATTCGGTTGTTTACAAACATTGTTTACAAGCCTCACCCTGTGTTTACGTTTGCGTCAAATCGCAGGTGAAACAATAAGTCAATTGCTAAAACACAACCGCTTATTAACTCCGATGACGTCTTACCCCCTCCACTCGTCGCGCCGCCGTTAGTTTATACTATATAAGCGTCCGGCGCGCAGCAGCCGCTAGTCAGTAGTTATCGCACTAGCGAACCAAGCGTGATTTTTCAACATGTTTCCTAACCCCTTTGAACGTAAACACTCCACTATTCGTCAAGTCATTGACCGGCTTATCCGACCTGACGTGAAGGCGAAGAATCGCAAAAACGCCGCGATTTTCAACTCTTCACCACTTTCCTGGAGGAAGAAGAACCTGACGATCAGCAGCAAATAGAAGACTGTTTTGTATATTTTTTTCTGTGAAAAAGTGCTTCCTCAATATTTGAGAACTGTGATTTAGTGATAGTGTTTTGAAGATGCGGAGAAGCTATTTACTGTTAAAGGTGAGTTTAAAACTTTTTCAGTAGTATTATGTTTAAATGAATTAATATCCAATGCAATTTGTTCATTTGCGAATCAAAAGTGAGGTTAACTATTAAAAATAAGCAATGGAAGATAAAACATTGAACAATATTTATATTTATAACCCTAAATAAATTTGAAACATCAATTATTAAATAATCAAAACCAATAACTAAATTCTTAATTAACCTTCATAGTCATAGAACTAAGTAATTAGTTTTGCCAGAACAATCCAAACAACTCTCACCATGCACATGTATTATTTATGTATGCATCAACATATTTATGACATGAATAGTGATTGTATTCATGAACCAAACTAGTGTCAGACGTAAAGGATGAATTAGATTCGATTAAACTTTGCTGCATTTTTGTTAATTACAGTTTAAACTATGCTAGAAAATTGTTTTGCTGAAGAAACTCAATATACATGAAAGTTGCTTTCACATTTAATGAGTGCGTTGTATTCTAAAATAATTATTCTAAGTTGTGGCTACCATTTTACCTTAGCCTATAAGATTAAAGTTGTACATCAACAGGATCACGTTTTTAAACTTCCAACACAAGAACAAGAACAAAGAACCAATTAAACCTAATTAAGTAAACTCTCCAGTTTTAAACTTATACAAAGAAAACTATTTATAAACCCGGGTCCCCTCCACTATTTCACGACTTCCACACCTTTCACCTAGGACTTCCACATGTCCGTACGTTGAACCTGGTTCCGGACGATCCAAGGGAAGGTCACCAGGTAGTTCCGAGGAAACACCTTGGATATCTTTCTTAATCCGAGATTTGCTTAAGCCGGCGACCTTGGGAAACAGACATACCAGTGTTGGTTAAAACACAGCTTCATTATAGTTACTTCCGGAGTTGTTTTAGTGTACTCTCGCAGTGTCCTTAGGTTATCTAAAAAAATGTAAATTTAAAACCTGACTTTGGATGTATTTAGCCAGAGGGAGCTAGTCTTCTATAAAGTATTGTGGTGTTTTAAATAATCGTGTGTTAGTGTTACAGTACACCCTCCGACACACACTACATAAAATTACAGCATATTGTAGAATCTGGCTCGAAGTAATATTTAGCAAGTTATAGATTTTAATCCCAAAACAGAATGATCGAAAGACGTATGTTACTGTAATTTTAAAAGTATCAAAAATGATCGATAAAAATGAAAGGTTATTATTATTGGTCTACGGTTTAATTTTAGTACTTTTTTATATTAATATTACTCTAACGACTTGTTACCCCTAATTAAATGCGAACCCTCTTACAAACAAATATTTTATATGGTTTTCTGATGTTTACGAATGATTATTTATCAATTATTTTTATTATAAAACTAATCTTTATAGGGAAATTATCTTGTATAATTATAACCTTCAATTTACTAATCAATCCTGGTTTTTTTTCGTTTCAGAAGCTTTTGGTGGAGCGGAACCATATACGGATCTCCAGAGGACGCCCAATTGGATTTTATTCCAATCCGCTTTCGCTTTGACTCTCTAATGTAGTTCTCCAACATTTGGGGGACGAGCTTTCCTGGATACAAGGTGGTGAGTTTATAATTAAAATTATTTCTTAGTAGTTTTTTCTTTTAATTCGTAAAAACATTTGACTATGATTCATTCCTCATATTTTATTTTAAAGCGATTCAATGCAAACGACAAATTTAAATTTGAATACAAATTACACCTTTAAAACTCCCGATGCATACGCCACTTAAATTGTTTTCCAAACTAATTGCAACTTCATTAACAATAGTGTAGGTATGTTTGATTTAAAAACATTACCTAAATAGTTTTTCTCTGTCATATAAATAAAGTGAGCTTGATTTAAATGTTACGTCAATTCTCCTTTTCAACAAAATGTTAGTAATGATAAAATCTCTAATTTATGTGCCACTCCATCTATGTTTGAAATGTTTATCATTAACTAAATACTAACTTTTTTCTAAGTTTTATTTCCATCCATTCCAAAGAGGGAAACTAAAAGACCACTTAAACGAAATCATTGTTGAATCGAAGTTCAGTAGGTTACTTACTTATACAGTAATTTAACAAAACTTTGATTGTATTGATAGTACCCTCAGAATTGTAACATTGAGTTTTTCTATTGATTAAAAGGCTCAGAGCGTTTATCATTGTGAAATTATCTAGATTTTCACTTATTTGACAATTCTTTTTTTTTTTTATTTGACATGATAACAGATATTCACTCGAATCATCGTTTTTGGCAAACGGCCAACCACCAACGTTGGCTAGTGATACAATGTTTTAGGCAAACTTTAGTGATCCAACCTTACTTCAATCTACATTTCAATACCCATTTGTTAGGAGTTTAATACTTATATATTTCCCTGAACAGTAACTGCACCAATGCAGACCAAATTTCAGTAATCTTCACCAGTTTGACACGATCATATCCTGAATACCATTATTTGACATGACAGTTTCCATTCAACCAATTTGATCGAATTATTGGTAGCTTCCGGAGTTTTCGGCCAAGTAGTTCAAGTGATAAATTGACCACGACCGGTCTCTGCTCTGCTCGTGACCGATGGCTGACCTTGACTGCTCCTGTAAATATAGTCTTAATAGAGTCACATTCTTGCCTTCACAACAAACCCCACCCATCACTTGACGTAAAAACGTTGCCTTCACATTTATGCTGGTTATATAAGTCTTCTCAAACTTGTAATTACGAGTACTATAGACAAAAGTTAATATTTAACAATAAAGGACAGCCTGATTGAAATTTTAAAAGTTTAAATTCTGAACCGTATAAGATGTTTGTATTTGGTTAGTTCAATGTTTTATTTTATCGCGCTATGTGTGCGATTTTTATGGTGATCATTTTTGCCTCTTTTAAACACTGAGCCAAGCCGTGTTCAATTACATATATATATATATATACCTCATAAAACTAACATAATTTGTATTCATGTTAAAGCTATAAGCTGCTAAGTACGCAAACAAAAAGGAAACAAATATTTGAATACTTTTTATATCGATACAAAGAATTGCGCTTGAGCTTGTGTTAAAAATTGCTTCAGTTGAATTTAATTTAAACAACTGATTTTACATTATTCTAAAAAATATCGATCCATTTAAACTAGAGGTACCAAAATGAAAATTATTTAGTGGAAATTATACGTCATTAACAAATATTTAACAATTTCTTATCAAACAGTTTTATATTGGTTTTTGTCTCAATGAGGTTCTCAGGAAATTCAAAATGGATCAATTTTATCTTTTTTACTATAAACTAAAAACTTTTCTCAATAATTTTACTAATACCATCGTCTTTTCTGTTTCAGATGGAATACCAGACATCAGCGAGTAACCAGCTGTTCAGTATTATCACCACATAATCATTATTTAAACATATTTATAATTTATACATTGTATACATTTAGATTTAGGTTTAAAGCCAAATGTTTTTTATTCCTTTTCTAGAAATGTGTGACAACTATGTTATTTATGTCAGTAGATCTCTTTTTTATACCGTTAATAAATTATTTGTTATGTTTTTATTCAGAGTGATTTTTTACCTGTATGTATTTGTACAAAGTAGTGTGTAGAACATCAGTTACCAAAACAATAGAACTGGTAAATGATTAATGAAATGTAGCAGAAAGATTATAAAACTTGAGGATCTACAACACAGACATCTCTCTTTTGTAGAAATCCTGCAAATATAAACTTATGGAACGTCTTTTAATGACATTTTCTAAACAAGTTAACAGATAACAAAAGTATTTTTCTTTATGTAAATAACTATTTACCCAATGATTACTCAGTTTTCCTGCTACGGGGAAAACACAGAGGGATTGTATTTGAAGATTTAAATTTTAAAATCTATAAAGTAAAATACAGATATTTGCCTCCTTTTATGAATTAATTCCTGAAAAATAATTTGAGTCACATCAAATAGTACAGACTAATAATGAAACACGGTGGATATTTTTGTCTTTTGGATATTAATTTGTAAGAATCTAAAATCCATATATCTTTTTACAAAACCACCAAAAAACGTATTCCAGGAAATTCTTTTTTGATTTTGTAGTGAAATATACTTTAATACTTTTAACTGCAATGGTGACCATATGAAGGTAGATATTTTAAACCAAGTAGCCAAGAATGGAGATTAGTGAAAGAGGAATGGTGCTATCTTGTAGTCTTGTGACTGACTAAAAGACCTACAGTTTATGGTGGAATGGAATTTGAACCCCATTTTCGCCTTTTCATTTACGAATTTGCCTAATTATCAAGATAGTACTGAGGATAATCGTATTACTCCCTAGAGAGGACGTTAATCCATACCAAGGAGTATAGCATTCACAGTACATGCCTATAAATATCCGCAATTCGTGACCTCCAAGTAGCTAAATTACAAGACAACCCCACGGTCATAATTATTTGTATTAGTTATTAGAAATAAATTGGATTTAAACCCTGATATGATGTTTTAATTGTTGAAAAGTATTGACAGAATTAACCACATATTTCCTGATAATACTGTACCTCCAATGTTTAAATTAAGGCCAAACATTAATCAAATACCTTGAACAATGAATAATCGTGTGTAGCAAACATTGGAACTTGCTGATTATTATCGAGGTGGGCATGTAAACATTGCGCAGCTTCAAACAACAATGCAGGGGTTGTAAATTAGGAGGGAAACCAACGTCAACCAACATCGCAGTAGTTATCATTTTGGCGGGAAGACAACGTCAATGTGTGTACATTTGGTCCCATCCACTGTTTGTATTTTACCTACGTTGTCCAACAACCCCTCTAGTCTCACGTGCATGATTTTGGATTTTAAAATGTTCACTTCCTACGTAAAATAAATATAATTAAATTATGGATAAAAAAAAACAAAATATTGTCTTGTATTTTAAGGATGGAAGTCATTAAACCTGGGAACGTTTCCTCGCCTTAGACAATCCGTGAACATGCAGGTTGAGATGTCAACCGAATCACTAAGTTACAGTATTAATCACATTGCTAAAATAAATTGGAAATCAAACCCGTCTTTCTAGACGTATCCATTAGCCCAGCCAATCCATTAATAAAATTGAGAAATTTAAAATATTAATATAAATACATTATTTTGCGAACCAGCATGATCGGACTATGGGAACGTGGGTTTATGGGGGGTTTTATGGGGAAAAAATTAGTTTTCACCACTTTTTTACCCTAAAAACACAACATTTCACAATTTCCTTTCAAACCATTTGTAAAGCTTAAAAAAAAGAAATAATTTTGTATATTGAAGCGTTGTTGTATGCCTAATGGTTATGGAGATAATTAACATAAATATAAATTTAAAAACTCTCATGTTACGTTTTTGGAGAATAAATAAACTGTTGTAGTTTGCTTGTTTATGGATATATAATTTAATCAAATTTTGACATTTTATTTATTTCATACTAAGCTATCCACATTTCAATAAAAAATAAAAAAAAAACACACCTCAATACACTCCCTGTAGCAACAAGCCTAAGTCCTCATTAAAATTAATTTTATTTAAATAGGAAATAAATCTGACACTTTTAAGGGAATATTTTAGTAGAAATCCATTTAGGTTAATGAATAAATGGAAATTCGCTTAGTCTGCAGGTTTGTTGCGGCGGGCTACTTGTATTTTTTGCTATTTTAAATCGTTGGTTTTCAGGTTTGCACTACATTAGGTACTTTGGAAAAACGAAAGTAATCCCTGGAAAAATTTGGAATGATTTGGAAAAATCCCTGTCATGGAGGCCGTTACAAATTTACTTTCCAAAGCTCTCCCTATACGTCCAATCACAGAAGCTCATCCCCAGGCCAATATTGAATTGGGAATATTCCTACGTTAATACTCGCTACGTAAATTACTTTTGCGCAAAATATCAGCCAATTTTGTCCATCAGGTTTTACAAAGTTCAGACAGACACGTTATATTTTATAGAAAATGTAAATTCATGCCTGTTCACTTGGAAATAGAAAGGACTGTTAGAGATCGTTTGAAGTAAAGGAATTAGAAAAGAACCGATTAATCAATGGTAACCAAGCTTGACAGGCTCGATACTTTGTCTTTCGTTCAATTGAGTTAAACCTTAGAAACGTTATTTTCTGCACACATTTGAGCCAGTTTCTTTTCAAAATACAGAACTTCAAATTTGTATTTGCACTACTTATAATGATATTTTACAACTTTAACCTTTTTAAAAGAACAAATACAGTTGTCATGTTAGAGTAATTTACGCAATGATTGCGTAAAGATAGTGTTCACGACACGACTAGAAAATTTAAGGTACGGTACGAGCCTTAGCGAGTCCCTTAAAATCGTCTACGAGTGTCGTTAACACTATTTACGCGAGTTGCGTACACTACTTTACAAACGAAAGTGCTTTAATTACTAAAAATCACTACTTATAACTTCTAATAGAGGTTATGTTTTCGCTTATAACCTCTCGTTGCCACTGACAATGACGCAACGAAACATGTACAAAACACTAATTCCACCACTCAACAATTAAATTGGCCTGAACAGCTCGAAAAAAATTGGATTAGTTAAAGCATTGACTTTTATCTGTATTGGTATAAAGTCAATGGTTAAAGTTCGAATCATTACAATTTTACCTCTTCTCTCTCAATCCTTTTATCTCACTGGTTCGTTACCCATGTTGTTATGAGTAAAACTATGCTGTTATGAAAGTAAACAATGCTGTAAAGTGAAACTTTTCATTTCTAAGAATTGAACTGAAATGGCAACCTTACAAAACGGTTGTATGTAAAAGTATTACGTTTTCATTCTCTTAACATATACAGGAGTTAAATAATATCTTTAAGACTAACAAAATTATAAATCCATTTTATACTGGTAACGTGAACGAAGTTTCACAATGATATAGAGATAAAAATATTTTACAACAAATGTTTCTTAAATTTACTAAAAGGAATGTTGGAAGCTTACCTCTCAATTTAGAAAAACAATAAAAAAGCCCGTACACAAAAAAGTGTATATAAGGTTTTTACTGGCTTAGCACAACGTTAAAGAACGTAGCTGAACAATTCATCCTGACTTAAATCCAGAAATTAGCAAATATTACAAATATCGCATCCTGTTGTAAATATTTAATTGTTTACTGAACAAAAAACGTGTAGGTTAAAATGCTCACACGTAGTATTTCTCACGGATCCTACGTTTGACGCGTCGGTAACAAGATCCGGGTCATTGTTGTAATTACTGTATTTAGTAAATTTACTGCATTACTTCCTTTACATTTACTTTTACCGGGGCACACATCTGCCAACGTGACTATAACGCCATCATCATTATATTACGTATAATACTTAATTACGTACGGAATAGTTATATATTATGTCTCAATACTATACAATCAACTCATGTCGACTAAACCGAGGCAAACGTAGCCAAACCTAACTGTAGCGACGTAAGCACTGTATTTCAAGCTTTAAATGTTTTCAATAGTTTATGATTAAACAGTAATTATTTAACGACTAACATTGAATTTGAATATTGCGAGTAGAATTTGTACTCTATGTAAATATTTAAAGTATTTATGAGTAGTTCATCTTGGTGAGGTTTGGGTGCGCGAGTTGGTTGAGGATCATGTGATTCATTTTAGCTTCATTTTCTAGGTTATATTACAAAGTAGGGCTACGAGCGATTAGAACTGTATTTTTCTATTTTGTGTGAACAGATTTTCCGAATAACAAGAAATCAGTGGCAAGCAAGAAACCATGAACCAAAAGGAAAATTATAATATTTTCGGATGATCTAAAAAGGATGGAACTTTATAAGTAATGTGTACAATTTTTGCTTCCTGGAGCTTTACCTGTGATTTGAAATGTTGTATGACAACACAGTAGTAAAATTACTCTTTGAAACATTACTGTACTTAAAAAAAAAACATTTGTAATATGACAGCCGTGATCATAAAATATGACGTTTTCATTATTAATTATATCTCAAGGAAAAACATATTTGACATTTGGTTTGCAAAAAAGCTGAACTTTTAAAACGTTTCTTGTAATTTAAAAATGTGTAGCGTAACAAAATTTGAAATTTAAACTTTATAATATTTATTTTGTTTTGTGTAGACCAAAGTTGATTCCAAAGGTCCCTGTTGGATGTTTGAATGTCATATAATAGGTATATAATATATCGAATATAATAGGTCAGAGTCATATTTTGGTAACGTCCGTGAAATATTCTTTTGGGCACCTCTTGGTAATAACTTTCTCATTTTTTGGTCCACTTTGTGTGTGATCGAGAGATGCTATTCTACAATTAGTATAGTTATTTATTCATTTCATAAAACATCTATTGTTATGTATTCTTTGCAACTTACACCGTTTTAAGAACACTTATTCACCTTTTAGGCTTAAAGCTAGAAATCTATGTAGGCTTGTTACTGAATTACAAGTATATAGGAGAAATAGGTTCAAGAATCAATATTTAAGTTATAGGCCTATAACAGAACAGAGCCCTATAACTTTTTAAAACAGTCTGAAAGGTACT